ATGGCAGATTATCATTTAGTCTTTCTGTTTCTTTCTTTAAAATATTTCCTTTTTCTTTCCTTCTTTCTTTCAATCTTTTCTTTACTTTTCTATCTTTCTTGTCATTTCTTTCTTTCTTGTTTTTCTTTTTACTTTCCTTTATTGAAATATTTCCTTTTCATTCATCCATTCATTCTTTCTTTCTTTCTTTCTTTCATTTTCCTTCTGTTATTGAAATATTTCATTTTCTTTCTTTCTTTCTTTCTTTCTTTCTTATCTTTTCCTGAAATATTTCCTTTTCTTTCTTTCTTTCTTTCTTTCTTTCTTTCTTGTATTTTCCTTCTGTTATCGGAATATTTTCTTTTCTTGTCTTTTATTGAAATATTTCCTTTTCTTTCTTTCTTTCTTTCTTTCTTTCTTTCTTTCTTTCTTCTATTGGAATATTTCTTTTCTTTCTTTGATTTTGTTTCTTTCTTTTAATCTTTCTTTCTGTCTTTCTTGATTTTCTCCCTTTCTTTTATTGGAATATTTTCTTTTCTTTCTTTCTTTCTTTCTTTCTTTCTTTTATTAAAATATTTCTTTTTGCATTGACATACACAAACAAAAAACATATTTTCACCCGGGGACAATACATGTTCATTCGGGATATATTTTGATAAATTTTCATTGGCTTCTTGTCACATAGTAATACTCGTCACAGTGAACCTGCTGCATCTAAACTTCAGAGGTAATGCAGTTATTTATCAATGCGTCCACATCACTACCGAATATAATACAAGGTCGAGATTTAAAGCGGGTCTACTGGCAATACAGTGGAAAAATTATTTCTTTATAGTTGCTATTTTCCTTAACTTACCCCTTATTCACATCTTAATATAATTCTTTTTGCCCTTATCTTAATTAGCACAAACGTTACGCCCTGTCAATACCGAATAAATAATGAACTATTCCGTTTTGATCACGTGGAAAGACGGAAAAGACATCTCAGAGACGCTAATTGGTTTCAGTGAGAAAATGAAAGAAACATTTAACGTCTCCTGTCAATACTACTTCAATAATGGGTTATTCATTTTTGATCACAGAGAAAGATGGAAGAGACGCTACTTGGTTTCACTGAGAAAATGAAAGAGAAAGAGAAATGTTTAACGTCTTTTTCGGTGAAATGGGAAAAATTGTCAAGTTCAAATCCTTTCATTTGTACTCAATTCTTAAATTAACGAAAGCATTCATATTTATGATTGCTATTGCAATATTTTATTAAAGTTATTAAACACAAATATTTAACGATGTGACAGGGTGGGGTCTAAAGATATTTCATTGTCGCAGAAACCGCCATGAGCTTATTCAATCATTAACTCAAGAATTAAGATTGATCAGAAAATTAAAATAGTAAAACTGTGAAAATTTCCAGGGTATTTCTAGTTGTGTGTTAATATGCTGTTTGAGTATTATTAATAAGATCAAATATAATCTCTTTCTAAGATCAATGGTTAAAAATGGCTTTGTTGTGAACAAAGCCTGTAGATTTTGGCGAAGACCATCCTTCTTTGAACATTGTAAACTGGTGATATAGAATCACAAAGAATTGTGTCAGATAATAGAAACCACATCACTTGAGGTCTTCCAACAACAATGAGGTTAATATGTGTTTTAGGTTTTTAGATTACCTAAAACACATATTAACCTCATCCAAATTTAACCAACACACAATACAGGCAGTCACAAAATGCAACAAGAAAAGAAATGGTGTTTGTGACATCATTATAGAAGGAAACTCCTACACTTTTAAAAACCCTAAAACGACATTCATAATAAATAAAAACTTAAACTGCAACTCCAAAAATGTGATTTATGTACTCAAATGCACAAAATGCAAGAAGCCATATATAGGTATCAGCCAACAACTGAACAACAGGGTCTCCCTATACAAAAACAACATAAAATTACCAGACAAGAGAAAACTTTTTGTATCACAACACATCTTCAAATGTAACCAGGGAAAATTTAAAATTATGCCAATATATCTAACAGACAATTATTCTTACCTACAAATACAAGAAAAAACTTCATAAACAAATTTAAACCAGAACTAAATAGATCATAACCCCACACGCAAAATCACACAACATGCGCACATAATGGCCAAATACAGTGATCAAACCACTCACATACATGCACGCACGCTCACATGCGAGTATCTGTGGAGCACGAATATATATATACACATATTGACAAAAGTAGGAGAATTACTCACATGCATGCACACAAACCCCACACAACTTAGGAAGTATGTGTGTATGTGTGTACGTATATATGTGTGTATGTATGTGTGTATACTGATTCCATGTAACTTGGGAAGTATGTGTATGTACGTATGTGTGTATGTATGTGTGGGTGTGTGTATGTATTGATTCTTTGTAATAGGACGGTATGTGTGTGTGTATATATATGTGTGTGTGTGTGTGTGTGTGTGTGTGTGTGTACAAATGTGTTCACTAATTCCTAGTAGTGAGAGAGTGTATGTATGGAGAGGGAATATACACATATATACACGCATGCTGACAAAAACACACGAAGATGGAAATAGATCTAAGAACACACAGGGGTCATTAAAAGATAAGAATGCCGATAACTACTCCATAATTTCTCGGACCAATCTTAATTGTTTTATAATCCTTCACGCAGAACTTTTCATTTTCAGTTCAAGAAAGACATTTGGGTCACTAACACAAAAAGAGTATGTCTCATATCGGGAATATTTAACATCGAAAAACATAAAGGGAAAAAATAATATGTGGAAATCTCCACCTTTTGCTTGATGACGGTCGCGAGACCGGAAACTCGTGTAGCAAAATTATAGAAAATAAAGAATAATATTTTTAAAAAAAATCCATATTACAGCCAAAAACGTTTGCGGTTTCTTCTTTCTTCTTTTTAATATATATATATATATATATATATATATATTTGTGAAAATATATAGAAAATAGGAAAGAACTGGTTAGGTAGATCCAAAGTTCCTTAGTATTTTAGTTATTATTTTTAAAAATAGTGCTCGATACAAATGTAGAGCATAAATATAATTATTTATTTAAAAATATGATTCCAACTCGCGACATAAGAGGTCTCATGTTTCAAAACAAGAGCCGAAAAGTTCAATATAATTATTTGAATTAAATTGAGTTAAAGAAAGCTCTGTTCCATCTTCAAGCGAAATTTTTTTTGGATTCCAAAAAATTTTTTTTTTCTTCCACGTCAGCCAGTCACCCCTGCCTGGGTAAATAAAACTATTCATTGGTTAATCACCTTCAATCTAGCTCGCTGATTGGTCAGTTCCGACCAATCAGATATCCTGCACGCGAGGAATTAAATTTCCCGCGTTTTCGTTCTGAGCCTCCCACGTGGTACAACAAAATTATGAAAACAAAACACGTGTAAACTCTCTCTCTCTCTCTCCCTCTCTCTCTCTCCTCTCTCTCCTCTCTCTCTCTCTCTCTCTCTCTCGCGCGCGCGTCTCGTTCCTTGCTGCCAAGATGTAATCTTCAAGAACTCCCGTCTTGACTAATGTAGTCAGACGTTAAAGACCATTACCAACATTCACGAAAGTACGAACTCTGGAATCTCTTCTGAACTTAACAATACACAATTCCAAACATGCTAAAGAAACTTTATTCTTCTAAACTACAGTTTAATAATTACTTTCACTTTATGAGCTCAAATACAAATATTTCCAAATCTAACAAACATAACTCTATCACACCTTCAGCTCTTATGCTTGTACATCAAATACTTAATAAATTCAATTGTTACGTTTTGAACAATATGAATCTTTATTCTCTATCTTGTAGTAATTGTTGTAGATTGAAAATTATTGAACACACACAATTTTAAGCCTTCTGATAATTCAAACCTTATATTCCTCTCCAACACACATCACACATTCCGCAACAAGTTCTTCGTTTTGAATACATGCTGTTCTTTTTAGAGAGTAGGACTGACCCATTGTAACGTCTTTCTTTACTTGATAAAATTCATGCACAAGCATTGCTTGATATCATGTCGCAATTGAGTCTTGCAATGATACTTTCCGATGGTCATTCTCTACACTACAACGCGGTTACAGTTATAGTCAAGTTTAGGAAATTATATGCTGTGTACTGTTCTGTGCTTTGTCCAATGCAACTTGTGATTTGTTGTGGATTGAAAAGTCCTCAGGTTGGCGGGGCAGGATGTGGTGAGAGGCGAAACACGTCGCATCTCTGAAGCAGTTTGTATGTCTCTTGTAAACCATAAAGCATGGCAGAAAGTTGTCAGATACCTTCTGGGGTGATAGAACAAGCTGTTAGCTTTTCTATTGTCTCTTGTAGATATTCATTTGGGTTGGAGATTATATTTTCTCTCTTTTATATATATATATATATATATATATATATATATAATGATATTTCGTTATTTCTTCAACCGTGTCATGTCTTTACATTCTTTTCGCGGCCTTTAGCGCATCCAGTTTCAACTGAGCTTGCAGATTCAGTGTTAGCAAATTCGTCGCCCTACATAAACACTAAATCGCATGTCTGTGACATTCATAATAAGCATTTATTTGTTAGCCTCTCCAATTTCAATCCTAGATATGTACACAATTCTTTACATCGACAGAAAAAAAATCTGTCTACATGCATCGGACATCAAAAGTTAAAATACACTCAGCCTCCACTGTAGTAAAAAATAAAGAAAAAAATAAAAAAATCATTTTGTATGTCATGTTTCGTATTTCGTTTTATTTCCTTTCATATTTTGCCGGTTTCCTATTTTCTTCCTTTCATTTTATTTAAACATCATTTCCTCCTTCCTTTTCCGCTATTTTAGTAATATCCACCAAATGTGATGTATTCATGTGAGTGAGTGAATGAGTGAGCGAATGAAAGAGAGAGTCGATTGTACAGTACTAAAATTTCCAAGGGAGTTAACTCGCGTGAAAGGGTCGGGGTCAAAATGTGTGCAGAGCAAGCTGGCTTCTCTAGAATTATCACGAAATATAAAACGATTCAATTAAAAGTGATAAATAAAATTAATAAAGTGCTATCAGGCACTGACTCACGAGAGCTTTAAATATAGCGCAAATGAAAATGGATAAGGTTTTAATTAAGTTATCAATTTAATCATAAAACTGAGCCAATAAGTATTTTTATGGCAGACAATAACTGTATAATCTTATGAGACCACTCGTACATTTTACAATAAATTTTAGATATTGCCTTATATATATATATATATATATATATATATATATATATATATTCTCTCTCTTATACATACATATATATATTCTCTCTCTCTATATATATATATATTTATATTCTCTCTCTCTCTCTCTCTTATATATATTTATATTCTCTCTTATACATACATATATATTCTCATTCTCTCTCTCTTATATATATATATATATATATATATATATATATATATATATATATATA